CCTCTGGAAATCTCCAGGAGCAACTCCCAGCACAGAGCCAGAAGGAGACCCTGAGTATCACCAGTGTGGCCATGTGTATCATAAAAACACATGGGCCTTGTCCTCATAAAAACAAAGCGCTCTCTCTCTCTCTCTCTCTCTCTCTCTCTCTCTCTCTCTCTCTCTCTCTCTCTCTCTCCTTACAATACTCACCTATGCCCAGAGAGATGAAAGAAGCTGGCAGGGCTCAACACAGAAGTCTCACCCACGTGGCCATGGTCATGGCCAGAGACTAAGGAAAGCCAGAATAATAGAGAAGCGCTCAGGGACAGCTCTAAAGGAGCCTGGTGGTAAGATTTTAGACTAGGAAAATGTACACTAGCTCGATTACAGCAGAGGGACAAAACCAGGCCATTGAACACTGGAGTTGAGCAGAGGGCTGTAGGATCAGACACGCTTACCATTCACTGGAGGTGGCCAGGAGAGAGAGAGATGAGGTGAGTGACACATACACAGGCAAAAAGAGAGGCCTGGATATTGGGGAGGGACCAAGAAACAACTTCCTGGCTGAATAAACTAAATTTCTTAAGGAAGAAAACAGTAAGAACAAGAGAGAGAGAGAGAGAGAGAGAGAGAGATTGAGTAGAAATGACCCCCAAGTATTTGTTAGAAGGCCCATCTAAAGTTTAACAACTGCTTGACATTGGTCTGGATGATGAAATTCTTGCCAACACTAGTCCTGGTCTATATTATGGAAATAGCCTATGGTAGGGCTCTTCAACTTTTTCTACTAACAGTACCTTTTCACTTGATAAATTTTTATGCCACCCAGGTATATAAAATAGACAAATAAAACATTTACTGATAAGAATTTACAAAGAAATTTATTTAAAAACAATTTTTTAAGCTGCATAACCCTACATGGGGCTGCAAACTATCATTTAAGAAGTTAGGGTTTATGGTCGTGTACTATGTTGAAGATACAGTAATACCAAAATCCTTTCATTAGACAAACAAACTCTTGAGTCCTTTAGGACATTTTACCAAATATAAAATGAACTCTACTTGGGGCTGGACAGATAGTACAGTGGGTAGGGCAGTTGCCTTGCATGTGGATGACCGGGGTTCAATCTGCAGCATCCCATATGATACCCAGCACACCTCCAGAAATCATTCCTGAATGCAGAGCCCGAGTAATCCCTGAGCATTGCTGGGTGTGACTCCAAAATAAAATCAACAAATAAATTAAATGAGCTCTACCTAGAGCAGCTGACCATTGACAATGGTGGCCTCTCCTGCCTGCTCTTGTATTTCAAGGCAGTGTGCTATACCAGGCAGGTAGAGGTATAGGATTAGGGTCATAACAGCCTTTTCTGATTAACAACTTCACCAGCAGAAGGGTCACAGAAGTCATCCACTTCTTTGGGCATTAGCTTCTATATTCAAATCCCCCTGACTTTTAGTTTTAAATTTTGTTCTAGGCACTGTGGTTTTATTTTTATTTTTTTAAATTGTATTTATTTATTTTTGCTTTTTTTGGGTCATACCCGGCAATGCTCAGGGGTTACTCCTGGCTTTGCACTCAGGAACACTATAGACTGCAGGGCAATTGGAGGCTACGTAGACTCAGGTTCCCAGAATGGGAACTGAGGCTTGGAAGAAGATCAGTGACTGCGGGCTGGAGCCATAGCTCAGTGATAAGGTGTTTGCCTTGCACGCAGCCAGCCTGGCCGAGCCAGGTTCGATTCCTCTGCCCCTCTCAGAGAGCCCAGCAAGCTACCAAGAGTATCTTGCCCGCACAGCAAAGCCTGGCAAGCTGCCTGTGACGTATTCAATATGCCAAACACAGTAACAACAAGTCTCAAAAAATGGAGACGGCCCGCTTGAGCAAAGAATTACTCTTGGCAGTGCTCAGGGGACCATACAGGATGCTAGGAATCGAACCCAGGTCGGCCGCATGCAAGGCAAACACCCTACCCGCTGTGCTATCGCTCTAACCCCTATTTTTAATTATTGAAAAAAATGTTAATTTTTTTATTGAATCGCTGTTAGTTACAGAGTTGTTCTTTTGTGCAGTTTTTGTGAATCTTGACTGGGTTTCAGTCATCCAATGTTGCAACACCCGGCCTTTCTCTCTTCACCAGTGTACCTTTCCCACCACCAATGTCCCCAGTTACCTTCCCACCCTCCTGCCCCCAGAGGCACACGGTCCTGATCCCTCTCCCTCTCCTTCCTCCTTTTGGGCTTTATGGTTTGCAATACAGAAAACTGAAAGGTTATCATGTAAATCCCTTGAACCTACTTTCAGCACTCAGTTCTTGTCCAGAGAGACCATTTCCAACTATCATTGTCACAGCAATGCCTTCTCTGACCTAACTGCCCTCAGGCCCCCTCCCCCACTACTTATGGCAAGCCTTCCTGGGTCCTGTTTTTACTGTCTTTGGGTGTTAGTCTCATACCATGCTTTTTTATATCCCACAAATGAGTGCGATCATTCTACGTCTGTACCTCTCATGACTCATTTCACTCAGCATAATACTCTCCATGTCCATCCATGTGATAAACAAATTTCATTTTTCCTTGTGTAGGCACCATGGTTTATCAAGCTGTTAATGAAAGGGTTTCGCACAAAAAACCATTCCAGCACCACACCCTCCACACCCTCACAAGTGTCCAATTCCCTCTATCACCAACCCAGTGTCTCTCCACCACCATCACCCTTCTTTGTAAAGTTCCTCCTAGAGACCAGTTCTCAATTTCTGTTGCTTTGGGGCACTTTCCCCGCCCCCTCCAATAATGTTTTATATTTTTATTTTTTGGAGGAAGGGGGCAGGGGAATACTGAATACTGGATGTCCTTCAAGGTTTACTCCTGGCTCTGCACTCAGGAACCACTCCTGGCGGTGCCTGGGGACCCTATGTGGGCCAGGAATCGAACCTGGGTTGGCCATGTGAAGGCAACCACCCTACCCACTGTACTATCTCCCCGGGACCCTGCAATTTTTCTTTATACTCCACATGTGAGGAAGATCATTGTATCAGTCCCTAGGCTTCTGACGGCCTTCACTCAGCATGCTTTCTCTAGCTCCAACCACAGGGCTAGAATTCAGCAAGCGGAAGAATTTCATCTTTTTGTAAAGCCAAGTCATCTTACGTTGTGTATTTGTACCCCAGATTCTTAATCTATCTGTTCTTGAACACCTGTTCAACACTTAAGCTTTTGTGAATAATGCAGCAGTGAAAGGTCTTTTCAAAACAATGTTTTGGGAACCTGGGGGTAGATGCCAAGAAGTGGAATTGTTGGGTCATATGGAAGTTTAATTCCTAGATTTTTGAGACTTGCCCCAGAAGGCGAGACCAGTGAACAGTCCTACCAGCATGAACGAGGTTCCCTTTTCCCCCATATTCATTCCAACAGTGGTTGTCTTTTATTCTTTTTCTAATTTTAGTTTTGTTTGTTTGTTTGTTTGTTTGTTTGTTTCATACCAGCTGTGCTCAGGGCTTACTCCCAGTAGGGCTCGGGGACCATATGGGGTGCCAGAGAATACAGGTCAGACACATAAAAGACACACAAGAAAGATCGCCTTACCTGCACTACTATCTCTCTGGCCCCACTGGTTATTTTGGCTCTTTGTGCTGTGTGCCAGTCTCAGAGGTATGGGATGGTACCTCTCTGTTGTCTTGATTTGTATTTCCCTGATGATGTGTGATGCAGAGCACTGTTTTCATGTACTTTTTGGCTATCTGTATGTCTTCATGGAAGTTTCTGCTAATTTCCTGCCCCCATTTTTTGATGGCGTTATCTGTTCTTTTTCTTGTAAAGTTTTACATCAGATGAGTGGTGGGAAAATATTCTCTTCCAGTCTGTGGTATATCTATTCTGGTCACTACTTCCTTTGAGGCGCAGAAGCTCCACTGTTTGATGTAGTCCTATTTGGTTATCTTTGCTCTGTCTGATTGGCCAAAGGCATAAAATCACTGACGGTGCCTCTAGATTTCATGTAATGAGGTGTTTTATCTGTGTTCCTCAATATACTCTATGGGTTCAAGTCTAATATCAAGGTCTTTATGCCATTGGGGAAAGGGAGGGTGTTGGCCACACCTAGAGGTGCTGAGGACTTACTCCTGGCTCTGCACTCAGGAATCATTCTTGGGGTGTCAGGGATCAAATCTGAGTTGGTGGTCACATGCAAGGCAAACATACTACCCCTGTATTATTTCTCTGTCCCCTCTTTAAGCTATTTTTAAATTAATTTTCATGCATGGTATTAGAAAGGGATCTGAATTCTTTATTTTTTGCATATGCCTGACCAGTTTTTCAGTACCATTTGCTGAAGAGGCTTTCCCTGCTCCACTTCATACTTTTTGCTCCTTTATCACAGATTAACTGTCCTTATATCTGGGGATCTGTCACTGCACTCTCAATTCTATTCCACTGGTCTGAAAATCTGTCCTTATTCCCATACCACAGTTTTTAATACAGCAGTTTTACAGTATAGTTTGAATTTGGGGAGAGAGAAGTCTCCCATCTTCTTTTTTCCCCTACGATTGTATCGAATAATTTGAGGAGTTTATTACTCCATATAAAATTACAACAGTGTTTTATTTGTGTCTTTTAAAAATGGCATGGGTAGGGGCAAGAGAGGTACAATAACAAGCAGGGTGCTTGTCTTACACATGGCTGACCTGGACTCGATCCCTGGCACCACAGGATACCCTGAGTCCCACCAGGAGTGACCCCTGAGCACAGCCAGGTGTGGCCCCCAAACAAAACAAAACAAAGTCATGGGTATTTTTATAGGGACACTGAGTATGTACAATGTTTTGGGCAAGATAGTCTTCTTGACAATATTAATCCTTCCAACCCATGACAATATTTCTTTTTTATTTCCCAGTATCTTATTTCATTTCATTTAGTATTGACTTAGAGTTTTCTTAAGTGAAGTCTTCTTCTATGACAGTAGATGTCATTAACAAGCATTTCAAAGACCACGTAAAAGAAAACACTGCTTTTATTCTTACCTTGATAATTTTTCGCAGGAGTCATCTTGTTATAATCCTCTGATAAAATGAATTCCTGCAAAAGCAAAGAAAACTAGTAGGTACAAAGGAAATTCTTAAGTGAACACTTTTATTTTGGTAAACAGATTTCATAAAGCAAACAACCATGACAGAGTTACACATAACGCTGAGATTTCACTATTCAACTCAATCTACCTTTATGCCTTTTCAAAAGTAGCCATCATCAACATGATCTAATAAAGATTACATGTTTTACCTTTGAGCTGAAGTTTTCGGTTTTGTTTTTTGTTTTGGCAGGGGGAAGGGGGGAGTGTAGCTGAGAAACAACTGGGTCAGGTTGAGACACTTGACAAGGGTCAGTCTAGGGGGGTGTTTGGGCATATGGAGCTGTGCTGAGCAGCTACTTGGATGTCACTCCTAGCAGTGCCTGGGGGAACCCTGAGATGCCAGGAATGGACCCTGAGGATCCTGCACACAGACCCTGCACTCCAGTCTGGGGAGCCATCTCCACAGCCCTGAGACTGGCCAATTCTGAAGACAAAGGGAGCCAAGTTCTATTTTTCTCAGTGGTACCACAAGTCAAAAACTTGTAAAGCTTCTTGCCAGTGAACAAATGGATGGCAACTCTTTACTAGAGAAGTTAGATAGCTTAGAAATTCTATTTCTTATACCTGAAATTTATTTCCTCTTACTATAACCTTCTCAGGGCTAAAGCTTGCTGATTCATTCCTGTGTTCTTAGGACACCAAGTGTTCTTAAGACAAATGAACGTGTGAATGGCATCTCCAAGATTTACTGGAATGTCAAATTTGGTTTTAAAAAATTTGTCTCTGAGGGGCTGGAGTGATAGCACAGCGGGTAGGGCGTTTGCCTTGTGCGCGCCCAACCCGGGTTCGATTCCTAGCATCCCATATGGTCCCCTGAGCACCGCCAGGAGTAGTTCCTGAGTGCTGAGCCAGGAGTAACCCCTGAGCATTGCCAGGTGTGACCCAAAAAGCAAAAAAAAAAAAATTGTCTCTGAAACACATTATATATATGCTTTTGAAGATGTATAAAAGGTGAGTGGTTGTGTGTGTGCATTAACATACTTCCCCAACACACACACACACACACACACACACACACACACACACACACACACACACAATGACCCATATGGAGGTATCAATCAAGCATTTATAAGCCCTTGTCAGGCTCAGCATCCTTTGGCATCTTTTAGATGCAAACTATTCACACACTCTTAAACAGTAAATTGTCAAACATAAGGAAAGATACAAAGTACAATAAACTGATCTGAGCATAAAAGCAGAACAATGGATCTTTTCAAAACATTTGGAGGCTTCTAGCATCTTTCTTTGATGACTTAAAGAATGGTTGGGTGGGTAGAACAAATATAAATTCTTTACCTACTATCTGGGTTATTTACTGAGTTCACATAATCTGTGTAATTTTTTAAGAGGTGATAGTTAATTGTTTCTGTGATAAACATCACAAAGGTGTTGTGAGGGGACATGCAAGATTACAAAGCACATTCACTTTTATACTCAGTCCTCCCATAAGACACTTGTCTACAGATGGAGTGTCTTCCCCATGAATTTCTCAGAAATATCATTGTTCATAGTCACTTTTTAAATTTCTATCATTGGTCCTTCAAAGAGTGGCACTATATCCAGTTCTTACTCTGGATGAGTTAGACTCATAAATGAAAGGAGCAACCTAATTTTTAAAGAAGTAGGAGTGACGCTTCCATAAAAGCATGCAGTGTGACTTAAACAAACATATCTATGTTTAACTACTCTCTACCATCCTGGTCTCAAACAAAAGAGCACTGTTCCAAACATACCACATGTACACACGCACACACACTCACACACACACACACACACACGAGACTAATGTTCTGAGTTCATGTTACTTTTAATACTTCAATTCCCTTTAGAACACAGGTAAAATATAAAATGGATTGATGAATATACACATTTAGAATTAACACACACATGCACACATATGCAGAATACAATTAATAGATGACTAAATGGCAAAACTTAATTTAGTGTTCATTTTTTTTGCGCATAAGGGGAAAATATGAAAAATTTGAAACTCTTGTCATCATTTTCATTATATTCTGATCAAAGAAATAATATACTATTCTAAAAATGCAAGAAATAAATATTAAAATTTCTTATATCAAGATATTTAATATATAAATTATTAATAGTATTTAAAACATTAATGTTATCTAATAATACTTTCTTTACCTTCAACAAATCATGTTTATTAATCCAAATAAATACAGTCTTATCAACTTCATTCTCTTAAATGACTGTATGGATATATTATAATTGTCATTATTCTTTCTTTTTATTATTATTTTCCCCCTTTTTTTATTCACCCTGAGATACAGTTAGAAAGCTTTCATGTTTGAGCCTTGGTCATACAATAATCAAACACCCATCCTTTCACCAGTGCACACTTTCCACCACCAAAATCCCTAGTATTCCCTCCCACACACACTCCCATTCAAACCCTTCCCCTGCCTGTGTGGCAAGACAATTTCCCCCATACTCTCTCTCTACTTTGGTTACATTCGATATTATAATTGTCATTATTCTTGAATATTTATTTCACACCTAATTTTCTTAATCAGTATCATATTAAATAAATTCTGTAAATATTTTTCTGTATCTGTAACCATATATCCATCTTGTACCAGAGGATATTATTTTTACTAAATGATATACTCCAAAATTACTTTCTATTAGAAGATTTTATCTGTCAACATAAATAATGTACTATAAAATTTTGGCTGCAGCTCAGAATATTTCAGTAGCATGGACCAAAGCTCAACCTGGAAAGAGAGCTCCATGGGCTATAGCACATGCTTTGAATGCAGGAGCCCTGGATTTGATCGCTGGGACCAGATGGTACCCTGAGGACAGAGTATTGAGAAGCCTGAGTCCGAAACAAAACGAACAGAAGAAATCAAATCAAAGCCACATAGTGTTTAAATTAGTATATTCATCTTTCTGTCTTCTTTCCACCCAACTGTCTACATATCTATCACTTGCTTTTTAATTTTTTTTTCATTTTTGGAACCTTCTGAGATTCACAGCAAAACTGTAAGGAAAGTAGACACACAACGCTATCCCCATTCCCCCATTATGAAGACGGGCATCAATGCGTTTCCTTTGCTACAACATATAAACTTAGGTGAGCACATTAGGATTCTATAGGTATTCACATACATGTACACAAATGGGCCCCATCATTGCAATACCATAGACAACATTTCCATTGTCCTAACACCGTCAGTGCCCCACCCACTCATCTACCCCTGCCTAACGCCTGGCACTATGGATCTTTTACCATCTCCAAAGTCTCATCTTTATATAATTTTTTTAATAGTTTGAATCATACAGTATTCAGACTTTTCGGATCACTAAATTTCTCATTTAGCAATCTCCTTTAAAATTACTTCATGTTTTGTTTAAGGCTTGATTGCTCGTTTCTTTTTAGCACTGAACGATATTTCATTGTCTGGAAGTACCAGTTAAACAATGTTGAAGAACATCTTGTTCACTTTCAAGTTTCGGCAATTATCAACTGAGCTGCTTTAAACATCTGTGTACAGGTGTGTGAACATACGTTTTCAGCACCTCTGAGTAAATATTCAGAAACCCAACTACTGGATTGTATGGTTAAAAGAAAATTCATGTTCGCTCTGCAACAAACTGCCCAACTGTCTTCCAAGTGGCTGGCTGAGGCACTCTGCACTCCAGGGTCACTGGGTGGGGAGGGGCACTCTTCCACATCCCACCCACACTGGGTGCTTTCCTTTCCCTTTCCCACCTCTTGCTGCTGCTGGTGCAACGGCCAGGGGAACCACACACTTGTTATGGTGATCCCTAGAGGTCACACATCAGGCAGACGCCATACTGCAACCCATGTGCCCAGACCCTTTTGTGGCGATAGAACATGTTCTTGCATTGCAGAAGGGATGGGGGTGACGGGGAGGTGTGTGACGGGAATCACACTCATCGAGTTGTGATGTTTGCACACACTTGGTGATTGTCACAAAGCAGTTGTGCTCCCTGGCCGTTTGCTGGAGACCACTCACAGTGTGCAGTGCTTGGGGGTCACAGAGAGCAGAACCCTTCACAAGGATCTGTGAAGGGCATATGCAACCAACACGGGGATCAAAGTCACAGTCTCAGGTTGGCAAGGCAGGTGCCTTAGTGCACTCACCCATTGCAAACAGCTGCTGTGAATTTTATGGATAATGGAAATTGAAATATATATGTAGTGGTACTGCCATTCTTTAATTTTTTTTCCCCTGATGGCATACTCAAAGAGCATCTTTTCCTATGTTTGCCACACATAAAATGTGTGAAGGACTTTGACACATTTTAAATCAAGACTGTTGGTTGTACTGTTGAGTTTTAATAGTTCTTTATATCTTCTGGAAAAGTCCCTCATGAGATGTCCATTGCAAGTATTTTCTCCAGGTCTGTAATTTGTCTTTTTACTGCCCTTTCAGTGGGGTCTGTTTCCAGCGTGTTCCTAACCCAGAACTGAACCCAGAACCTCACACATGCAACAAGGCTCAACTGCTGAGCAACATTCCTGACTCGCAACTTTTTTTTTAAGAATCGAAAACATTAATTTAATGAATGGTGTATTAATTGGAAAGCTTATTAATTTTTGGTTTTGGAGACTGACCTTCGGTGCTGTATCTAAAAATTCATCTTCCAAACCCACCACTTATACTTAGGTCTATGATGTTCTTTGAGTTGAGTTTTGTGAGGCTCCAATGTGTTGCATGAAGTGACGGATCAATTGGTCTGGAGGCGCAGAGACAAGACACGGGAAAGGAATGCGGAGAGCATGGAGGGCCAAGGCTCGATCTGGCTCCAGGCAAACTGCCAGAGGCCTCCTTCTATTCTATTTTTTATCAGTCACATCCGATTGACTTTCACCATCACCGTCACCGTCCTCCCGTTGTTCATCAATTTGCTCAAGCGGGCCCAGTAACTCACATTGTGAGACTTGTTACTG